TTTAACTATTATCTAACTAGTCTTAACGATTTCATCTTGCGCACGTACCTTGTTTCGATGAGTAATTTTTGTTAAATCATATAATATTATGTTAAAAGTTTATTTTGAGTTATAAAATAAGATTTTAAACACCTGGAATGATGAATAAAATAATTGAGCATAGTAAAATATTTAATTATAATAACTTGTTCGTATCAATAATTTAAATAATAACAACCAAAACTCAAAAATTTATTTATACAATTGAGAAGGAAAGAGAAAAAGCTTTTAAAAAATATATTCCATGCATGTAATATTAAAAAATAATTCTTTAGCATAAAGATATATTTATAACATGCATTATATATGCTTGAAAAATTTGCTCAATTATTATATTCCAACATTATATATGTCTAAAAATTGTTTTTCCTTTCTTATTATATAAATAAATTTATTTATTCTATATGTAAGTTCATAATATCGAGTAAACTGAGAAAAAATTTAAAAATAAAGGTTGATAATTTAGTGGGTAAAATAGGTATTTAGCTATCGAAATTTTGAGCAATCTATTTTAGTAACGTTTTAAGAGATATTGAAATAGATAAGTAACTTTTCTTTTACAAATAAAAGAAAGATAATTTACGAAGAAATTTTAAATAATTGAGTGATCATTTGAATAATGAATAAAATTTTGGCCTTCTGGTTCTGCTGTACTAGCTGATACTCTGTGGATTGAGCGGATGGGAATTATCCCAAATTGCATCCAATTTGACATTGGGATTTACCAGTGAAAAATTTACATTGGGAAATTCATGCATATTTTACATTTAGATTTGCTTGTTAAATAGCTACCTGGAAATTTTTCTTGTTTAGATCAAACTTTGAGGCTAAATAAAATATTTACTTATTGCCTACAAAATTGTTACCTGGCGAATTCATACAATTTTAGTAGCGGTTTTTTTTAATGGGGATTTTCTTACCGATTATTCGCATGAAATTCCTAAAAAATAAGTTCCTTTTGACCACAAATTTTTGACAAAATTTCCTAAATATTTATTTGTGACTTGTCATGGAGAGGTTCATGCAGATTTTCTCCATGGAAATTCAGACGAAAATTCCATTTCGACCGCAAATTTCCATCAAAAATTTCTTGCGGATATTTAATTTTCCTTGCAACAAAATTCGCAGGTAATTTACTTGCGCCATTATAATTCCTAGGTAAATTACTCAATGTTTCAGAAATTCATATGTCGTACCTATCTACGGCGATTTTTCCTTTGGAACCTTTTTGGCAGGAAAATCTAACTACGAATTTTCTCTTATAATCCCTAGGAAAATCCCCATTGTAATATGCATTTTTGTTGCAGTTATTTATGATTTTCTGCAAATAAATTTGACGCAGTAATAATTCTTTTCCAGAAAATAACTATTATTCACCACATATAGCTAGGGGTGTACAAACCGAATCGGAAAACCGCATCAAACTGATCAAATCAATTAAAATCGAACTAGGTTTAGTTTGATTTAGTTTGATATTGAGTAAAAATATCTGAACCAAACCAACCTATAAATATATGGAGTAGTTCTTATATATACTTTTAAGATTTCATATAGAATTTTCTTTAAAAAAAATGTCTTCTAGTATTTGGGATTCTCTTACGGGATATAATATTTAATAAAATATGAAGTGCTCTGATGTGTGGCTATAATCATGGTTTAGCACATTATTCGCCTTGCATTTTATACGCTTTAATGATAAATTACACTTTATTTGCGCGCAATAGCGTGCATGAGAGCAGCGAAGGAGAGAACCTGGCGACGTCGGACTTGAAGCTGGCGATACCCCTACGACGACAGGCTTGAAGCTGGCGAGAGGTTGGCGAGGCAAGGCAAAGGCCCATCATAACCAGGCGTTAGACCTGGCGACGCCAGGCCTGATGCCAGGTCAACCAGGCGTTATGCCTGATGTCAGGCCTGGGGCGAGATCTAGTCCGAGTTTTGAAGGCTTAGTTCGTTTCCCGCTTGACTAGGATTTGACCTACACGTTTAGGTCCTGTCCTAAACATGTAAATAGACCTAAAAATACCACTTTGAAGGACTTTTGCAACTGGAGGCAAAGATAGCTCATGGAACAACTGTTGGGAGTTAGAATCATCGATTTCTACATCCCTTTATCCTTACTTTGTAATTCAATTATGCAAAATACTTTGAATATTGTTATTACGAGTATGAGTAGCTAAACTCCTAATCTAGGATTTTGATGGAACCGGTTGGAGGATGATTTTCTCGTTATGTTAATATAGATTTGTCGTCGTATTCTCTCTGTTTGTTCAACTATATGCGTATTGTTGTTGATTAAAGGGACCTCAATTAACTATTCCTATTTAATATATATTACTCGGGAGAGAGTGCATATTTAGGTAGTTGTTGAACAACATCACTCCTAACGTATATGAGGGATCAATACGAAGGGTTTAAAGGTGGGATTAGGGATAACAAAACTTTGGTGCGATCTGAGTGAGCTTTACTTAAGGCCAGGTAGCGTAATTCGGGAGAATATATCTAGTATATTGCGGTAATTACTCGGTAGAGAGTTACGACAGTCAGAGTGTTCATGATCGATAAAGAAGACTTAGGCAAATTTATCGAAAACGTAGCAGAAAGGATTCCGACAATAGGGAAATCAGAATCTTAGATCATTCCAATTCTTGCCTACAACCCATTCGTAGTTAGTTCTTATTTATAGCATTTTAATTACGTAATATTTAGTTAGTAAACATCCAACATGTTACTCAAATATTTCTGAAGATTGATTGTGTGAATTTGTGCGAGTCTAGTAGCTGAGCTTAATAAATTAATTCCCTGTGTGATTCGACTCTGGACTTATTAACCAAAATATATTTGGAACGACCGCTAAGTCCTTTTTATAAGGTATAGTTGGCGTGATCAAATTTTGGCATCGTTGCCGAAGAATTTAAGGGTGTTATTAATTGCAGCTAAAAGAAGTGCTAGAATTCTTAGTGTAGTTAATTTCTTCAATTTAAACTAAATATATTGAAATTCTAACGTTTGTAGTCTTGGGTGTTATAGGTGCATCCCGAGAAACTCCTCAAGAACTGGTGAATTGTTCGAAGCATTATCAGATCCTGAGAAAGTTTCAAGGTATTGAATCATGCAAACAAGAAGGGAAAACAACAACAGAACTCAACAGAACAAATCGAACCAGACATGGAAGACGGAGTAGATAATCCAAATAACAGAAATAACGTGAATGACCAGAACAATCAGGATGTGGTGCCTCTTGTGCCAGAAGCAACATTGTATGATTGGGCACAACCCACCGCCGACAACCTAGCGACCGCAATTGTAGTCCCTCATATACGAGCAGAATCATTTCAAATCACAAACAACATGCTACACTTGTTGCAGAACAAGGGACTGTTCTCAGGGTCATACGTTGAAGATCCTCAGCAGCATCTGAAGAATTTCCTATCAATATGTGGCACGTAAAGGCAACCTAATGTGACACCAGAAGCAATAAGGTTGTTGTTGTTTCCATTCTCGGTGACGGGAGAGGGTCAGACTTGGCTTAATTCACTCATTATAAACTCCATCACTACTTGGAATGAATTAGTCAAGCAATTTGTGAACAAGTTCTACCCACCCAATAAGACTTCTAAACAAATTGATGAGATATTGAGCTTCAGGCAGAAACTAACAGAAACATTACAAGAAACGTGGGAGAGGTTCAAGGGTAAGCTAGTTAGGTGCCCACATCATGGCATTCCGGAGCAGATATTCAGGTAGAGGTTTTACATGGGATTGGCAGACAGCTTAAAGGCCAATGTTGATGCTTCAGCAGGTGGAACATTTTTTTGCAAAACGTTTAGAGAAAACATGATCCTATTTAATAAGATGGCCCAAAACTCAGGATGGATGACAAGAAACTCTACAATCACTCATGTAGTTCATTCAGTGGCTTTGGACCCAAATAACTCCATAGCTGAAAATATGGCCACTCTAGTAACGCAAATGAGATCCTCACCAAAAAGATAGATGAATCAGGCCAGAAACAGCAGGTACACATAGTTGATGCAACTAATAGGGTCTTATGTACACCATGCATTAACCAACTATATGTTTGCTCGTGGAGTGCGGAAGGGGACAACCAGCAATATCAGGAAAATATGAACTATGTGGCCAACTATGGGGGATAGAGGCAAGGTGGTCAGAATTGGGGACAGCAGAATCAACAATATAGACCAGCATAACAGCAGTACAACAACAGCAACAATCCTGGAGCTACTTGACCATAGGGTCCAGTGGTGCCTTACCAGAGGCAACAGGGTTACAACTAGCAAAATCAACAGCTGGATTATCCACAACCTCAACAATAACAGATTGTGAGACAAGATGATGGGTTTGCTGAACTTAAGGGAATGCTGAATAAAAGTAACAGTATGTTGCAACAACTGATTGGGACTAATAGAAAATTAACTGAGAGAATAGACTCACATGAATTAGCGATAAAGAGTATTGAGGTTCAATTAGGACACATTTGGATGGCTTTAAGTAATCGTCCCCATAGGACGTTTCCTGCAGACACACAAATCAATCCAAAAGAGCAGGGCCCGAAACAGGTTATGGCAGTGAATCTACGAAATGGTAGAGACCTAGATCTGGAGCAAGAAATGGCTCGTGAAAACCGACCTACTAAAGCACTTGTGCCAGTACCCGTTGGGATAGATGATTCAGCAAGATTAACTGAGGTGACAGTACAAAATGCACAAGAAAACACCAGCAAAGAAAAAGAGGTTGCAAAGGAGACTGATATAGCATGGGAGAAGACAGTAGAAGCAGTGCCTGAGCAAGAAAAAAATCAAATCACAAGGAAGAAGCGAACTCCGGCACCATTACCACAGAGATTGACCAAGTATTAGAAAGATAAGCAGTATAAGAAATTCTTTGAGATGTCGAAGCAAATTTAGGTAAGCATTCCATTGATTGACGCCTTAAAGGAAATGTCTGGTTATGCAAAAATGATGAAGGACTTGATGCCTCGTAAGTTTGAATTTCAAGACTTGGCCACGGTTACATTGACTCAGACATGTAGTGTTGTTGTGACGAGACCCATACCTGAGAAGTTGTCTGACCCAGGAAGTTTCATAATCCCATGCACAATAGGCAACTATGCATTTGTTAAGGCACTTTGTGATTTAGGGGCAAGCATAAACCTGATGCCCCTGGCTATCTACAAAAGGTTCGGCATTGGAAGAGTTAGACCCACGTCCATGTTACTACAGCTGGCTGACCGGACAGTAAAGAGGCCCTCTGGTATTCGTGATTATGTATTAGTACATGTTGGGAAGTTTGTGTTCCTAGCAAATTTAGTCATTCTTGACTGTCGGGTTGATGAGGAAATTTTCATAATTTTGGAAAGACCATTCTTGGGCACTAGGAGAGCTTAATTGACCGTGAAACATGAGAGCTCGAAATGAGATTAAATGATGAAGAAATAACATTCAATATGCAGAAATCTATGCGACGACCAAGTGAATTTGCTAAATACTCTCTAATAGAAGCCGTGGATGTAATTTTGGAAGAGGAAGATGAGATATTGAACACTAAAGACCCTCTAGCAGCATATCTCATAAACTTAGATGAAGCAAACGGAAAAGACTTGGCGGAGTGGGTACTTGCTCTTGAAGTCCAAGGTTTTTGGAGAAGGGAGCTCGAATTTGAGCCTTTGTACTTAGAAGAAAGGAAAAATCCACTAGCTAAGTCGTCGATAGAAGAACCACCAAAGTTGGAACTGAAGCCCCTACCATCTCATCTCAGGTATGCTTTCTTGGGACCTAACTCAACTTAACCTGTTATTATCTCATCTAGTTTGTTAGATGTGAAGGCAGAACAACTTTTGTAGGTATTGATAGAGTGCAAAACTGCAATTGGTTGGACCATTGCGGACATTAAGGGTATCAGCCCGACCTTCTGTATGCATAAGATTTTACTAGAAGATGGGCACAAACCTTCCAGACAACATCAAAGAAGGTTGAACCCCAACATGAAAGAAGTGGTAAAGAAAGAAGTGATTAAGTGGTTAGATGGGAATCATATTTCCATCTCTGACAGTAACTAGGTTAGCCCAGTTCAGTATGTGCCAAAAAAGGCGGTATAATGGTAGTGAAAAATGAGAAGAACGAGTTGATCTCAACAAAAACAGTCACAGGTTGGCGAATCCTTATGGATTACAGAAAGTTGAACATGGCTACCCAGAAAGACCACTTCCCACTGCCATTCATTGATCAGATGTTAGATAGATTGGCAGGGAGGTCCCATTTCTGCTTTCTGGATGGGTACTTGGGGTATAATCAGATCTCTATTGCCCCGGAGGACAGAGAGAAAACATCGTTCATCTGCCCTTGTGGAATCTATGCCTTTTGGAGAATGTCGTTGGGCCTATGCAACGCACCTTCCACATTCCAAAGGTGCATGATGTCCATCTTCAAGTCTAATCTAGTACTCAACTAGGAAAAATATCATTTCATAGTATAGGAAGGTATACTTTTGGGGCACCTAGTGTTGAGTAAAGGAATTGAGGTAGATCGTGCAAAGGTTGATGTGATCGAAAAGCTTCCACCACCCAATTCTATCAAAGCAATCAGAAGTTTCCTTGGGCACGCCGGTTTCTATAGGAGATTTATAAAAGATATTTCCAAAATTGCTAACTCCTTGTGTAAATTGCTTGAAAAAGACCACCCTTTGTTTTCTAATGACTGCAGGGTAGAGTTTGAGGAATTGAAGAAGAGACCAGTAACAACACCTATCATAGTTGCCCCTGACTGGGAGCAACCATTTGAGCTGATGTGTGATGCGAGTGACTATGATATGGGAGTATATCTTGGGTAGCAAAAAGACAAAGTCATGTATCCAATATACTACGCAAGTAGAACTCTGAGTGGTGCCCAGCTAAATAACACAGTGACCGAGAAGGAGATGCTAGCAGTGGTGTTCGCATTTGACAAATTCAATTCATACCTGATAGGCTCGAAGGTAATTGTTTATACTGACCATGCTGCTCTAAAGTACTTAATCGAGAAGAAGGAGTCAAAGTTGCGCCTGATTCGATAGGTGCTACTGCTGTAAGAATTTGACTTGGAAATCTATGACTGAAAGAGAACGGAGAACCAAGTGGCTGATCACTTGTCCAGTCTGGAAGGAGCCGAGAAAAAGGTTGAGGTGGAAGAGATTATGGAAACCTTCTCGGATGAACAACTATTAGCCACGAGTCTTGAGGAAGCGCCATGGTATGCTGACATTGCAAATTACCTGGTGAGCGGTATTGTTCCTTATGACCTTTCCTCTGTCCAAAAGAAAAAGTTCTTTCGTGATTGTCCCATGTATTATTATGATGAGCCTTATCTGTTCAGGATTTGTGTTGATAACATAATAAAGAGATGTATCCGTGAGACAGACCAATCTTCTATTTTGCAAGCATGTCATGCGTCACCATATGGTGTCCATTTCGGGGGAGTAAGGATAGTTGCGAAAGTCTTGGAGTCGGGCTTCTACTGGCTGACATTGTTCAAAGATACACACTTATGGGTGAAGGGTTGTGATAAATGCCAACGAACCAGGAATATTTCCCCCCTACATGAGATGCCTATTAACCCAATTCAGGAGGTAGAAGTGTTTGATGTATGGGGAATCGATTTTATGGGGCCTTTTGTCAGCTCATATGGCAATAAGTACATACCCGTCACTGTGGACTACGTGTCCAAATGGGTGGAGGCTACAACACTCCCTACAAATTATGCAAAGGGGGTAATTGGTTTTTCAAGAAAGAACATATTTACCCGATTTGGCACTCCAAGGGCAATAATTAGTGACGGAGGCACTCACTTCTATAATCGAGCCTTCCCGAAGTTGTTAGAAAAGTATGATGTATGCCACAAGGTTGCCACCCCATATCATCCACAAATGAGTGGGAAAGTGGAAGTTTTGAACAGAGAGATAAAGAGTGTGTTGACAAAGAATGTGAATGCTACTAGAACGGATTGGGCAAGAAAGTTAGATGATGCACTATGGGCCAATCAAACCTCTTTCAAAACACCGATCGGCATGTCGCCATTCAAGTTGGTAGGAAGGCGTGTCACTTATCGGTGGAGTTTGAGCATGGAGATTTATGGGCATTGAGGCAGTTGAATCTCGATATTAAAGCTGCGGGAACAAGTAGAATCACAGAGTTGCACGAGCTTGATGAGTTTCGATACCAAGCTTTTGAGAGCAAAAGACTATACAAGGAGAGAATGAAGATAATACATGATAAAAATATTCTTGAGCGGAGTTTTAAACCCGAATATAGGGTATTGCTATACAATTCAAGGCTGAGATTATTTTCGGGTAAATTAAAGTCAAGATGGTCAGGACCATTTCGTGTGGTCCAGATTCATCCCGCGGGTGCCGTAGAGATTATTGCAGAAAATGACTCTCACAAGTTCAGAGTCAATGGGCACAAATTAAAATATTATTTAGGCATGGATGAAGCAAAAGTAGTGTCAGTGACTCATTTGATCGAGCCACCAATGTTGAGCGTACCTTAAATGTGCCTACATGTGACGTGCTGTGATGTTAAATCAGGCGCTTCATGGGAGGCAACCCATTGGACTATTGTATTCATCATGCCACGATGTTAAATAAGGCGCTCATTGGAGACAACCCAATTCATCCTTGATTTTTAGTATAGTTAGAATTTTTCTTTTTATTTTTAGGTACTAACAAGTTTGCAGGTAATTTTGGGCAAGACGAGAAGGGTTTCAGCGTCACCTGAAGGACATCAGGTGATAGCCTGGTGCCACCTGAGTAAAGCCAGGTACACCAAGCGTTGGGGCTGGCGACGCCAGGATAAAGCCAGGCAAGGCTGGCACTGGGGATGGCCACGCCTGGGTAAAGCCAGGCAAGGCTGGCGCTGGGGTTGGCGACACCTGGGTAAGGCTAGGTAAAGGGTCTGGCGACGTCAGGTAAGTTTTTTTTCGACCTAACATAATTTCTTTCCCTTATTTTATTCAAACCTCCTCACTTACATGCCCTAAGCACTGAACAGAATAAAAAAACCCTAACATAACTAAAACCAAACACACACCAAGCTCTAAAAAAAGTTCACAAGCACACACTACTGTTCATCAGCTTTGCTCTCATCCAAACACACTGCACAAATTTGCTCATCCACACACACTCATCAGCACATTGTGATAGTTGTCTCTCCCATCCCCATTGAAGTCAAACTTTGTCTTGCTATTTCGTTCACACTCATCAGCAATTCTCAGACAACTCCCTTTTCTCAAAAGCTTCAAAGGTATGATTTTATCTCTTTTCCTTGTAATTTCGAATTGGGTACATGTATATAATTACACGCAAAAGTTGGTGGTTGTTCTTCATTGTAGTATTGTGTTTGTGTGCCCCAACCCCATGAACGCCATAGGAATGGCTTTGCGATTGCAAAAACATGCGGTAGTACGGAACTCCCAAGCCGATTTGGGAGGATAAGGCAATCCCTCATCTCTACAAGCACTCCCATGGCACTAGTGCTTGTTAAGTGTTTGATATAATGCCTCAATGACATTCCTTGTCCCCATTGGAGCCCGAGTCTCCGGGATTAATAAACTAGTGTTATGTAGTCATGCACCAAGTTAAAATCTTAAGTGTGGGGTGGCTCACGGGTAGCCCATATGTTTTTGTTTGATTCCCATATTAAGAAAATACGAGGTGAAGTCTGAGTAATCTCGGAAAGTTGGGCAAGATTATGTGTGTAGTGTAGGAATGAAGATGCCTCCCAGAAAAGACATAGGCAAAGGAAAGGCCACTTCAACTGCCCCAGCTAAAGCAAACGCGACCTCCGCACCTCCCCCAAAGAAGAGAAAAGGAGGAGAAGCTACCTCTAGTCTGAGTGGAGCACAAGTTGTGGCAGCTGTAGCTGCCATGCGTCTACAACCCCAAGGCTAACAGGAGTTTGGCATCAATAGCATACCCCTGCATACAAAGGATTGGTACAGGCGTTATAGGCCTAAACATGTCCATCCAGAAGTAGCTATCCAGGAAAGCAGCCTGAAAGCGAAGTATCAGGCAATTTGGAGAGGCATCCAGGATTTGGGGTTAAGCTATGTTTTCAAGAACACATGGTACATCAATCTCAATCTAGTCCGGGAATTCTATGTAGGGTTTGATCCATAGGATACTGAAAAGTTGGTGCCAATTCGTGGACGGTTGATAAATTTTTCAGCCACGTCCATATGTAACTTTTTAGGTGCGCCAAATGTTCCTGTGGAGCCATTGGACCAATTCATTTAACGACCTACATATAGAGAGTTTAGACACATGCTCTACGATGTCGACTCTACGGCAGCATGGGTCCGGGATAAGGTAACAAATCGTCACAAAAGATTCCCTAAGAAGAAAATGAAAGCGGAGG